TTGGGTGTACTGTTTTGTTTTTGTTTTTACTGATGGGGGGTGCGGCTTATAGTCCAAAAAATACGGTAGATGTAAACTTTATCAGGATAAACTAACTGCATTAGGTGCTAAAATTTATAATTACAGATGCACACAGGTAAATAAAATTTCAGCATAACACATCTGAGATCTAAAAACAGCTTCCAAAGATAATTAAAGTTGAATATGATATAATAGAAAAGACATTTTCTTATATTTTAAATACAAATTTCAAAATAAAACTTTTTAAAGCTGTAATCATAATACCGTCATACCGCAAAACCGTGATATTTTTGCCCAAGGTTATCAAACAGTCATAATTTCATACCGTCCCATGCCTACCAGATACAAATCTCTCTGGCTGCTCGTTTTAACGCCCTCAGAATGAATATCTTTCCATTTCAGGACCTTAACAGCATTTACAGCCCTGCTGGTCAGGAGGCAAATACTTAGAGATGCACCTGAAAGTACCAGTTTATGTCTTGATATACTGTCGGGTTGATATCATCAGTTTTTACACAATCCCAGTTAAGGTTTGATGATTCGGGGAAATATTTTATGAGCGAATGTTTAATTTAGAGTGAGGTGATGTCAGACCCTCTAACACTAACCTCTTCTTCCTCCCACAGTCTTTATGCTTCAGGTACAGTTTGAACAATAAGATGCTGGAGTTTTGTCATCTTGGATTATTAAAACAAGTATAAAATAATAATAACCTTTAGAAAATAAATTTGTATATTGGAATTTAAGACATTAGCTGGTTTTGTGGTGCTCAGCATTAGTTCAATAATTCAGACTTTAATCCTGGCTCCTGACAATATTTAAACTGGTTGTAGTGAGAGGCTGGAACATCTGAATTTTGTGTTTAATATATGTTGAAGTGGTCAGTGCGTTGCTGCAGCAGCAGGTAATGAGTTGTTACAGAGTGTATTATTACATGAACTGAATGAATATCTGATCTCTTACTTACAGTTTGCCCTTCTCATAAAGGTAGAGGATGCCTTCTTTAAAATTGTGCATCTGACAAAGAACCAGGGCCTTATCAAACACAGTGTTGTCACTTCTCAACAGGGACAGAGCTTCCTCTTGCAGGATGGTTTTTTTCTGCCGTACATATGGATTTAAAATAATTAGTAAAAATTATTTAAAACATTAAAATGAACAATCATTTTGCAGAAAGAGTTATGAGTTTTTGATGTTTTCTGCTGACCTCACGGTCCTGCTCGTGTGCCCAGTCCTGCAGCCGGAGCTCCAGCAGTGTGTCGTACACACCCTGAGGAGAGTGGGGATCCACGTTGATCATGTGGTCCAGAAAGGCTTTCAGTTCTCGGGGGTTATTGGCAAAAATGGGAATGAATTCCTCAGAATTTGCCTTAAAGAGAAACAAATCAGATCAGTCATTAATACGAATATTTCTAGGGTAGATCTTGGATAAAGAATGTGTCATCAAGTTGTTTTGATTATGATGGAGAACAACAAAATGACATGCTGACCTTAATCCTGTCCAAACTGTCTCTGTCAGCAGTGTCTCCACTGGGCTGGTAGTTGGTGCACAAGCCTTTAAGCAGCATGGTTGTACCTTCAGGAACGTGGTGCATGAGCGTCTTACCGTAACGTTTCATGTTGCTCTCAGCTTGCTCAAAAGGTAAACGGCCAATGTATCGCAGCCCTTCCTGATAATTCTGGGTTTCAGAGGGAAACAGGATATCACACTTTATCCTGCTTAATACAAAGTCTAGTGCATACAGTATATACAGACACACACACCTGCTCTGTGACTACCTCCATTGTTTTGAAAGAAAATATTATGTGTTGTTCGTTTACCAGTTTGTGTGCTTAAACATATGGAGAATGTACCAATGCATGGAAAAGATTAAAAAACAGAAAGTCAAACAAAACCAGAGAGCGCTCTGCTGAAGACTGGTTTTTGATCATCAAGTGTTCAGACTGGAAACCAGTAAATAGGGTTGGGCAATATTGGCAAAAAAACAAATCACAATTAATTGTGGTATTTAGCCGATAATGATTAATTTGACGATTAATCCTCTGGAGTCCCTGGACACCCTTATTTCATAGACACATGACCAATTTAGTGGGAAAGATTTGCTCCTCATAAAAATCTTTCCAAATTGTGTCAAAAATACAGACTTCAGGCTATATGTCAAATTTTAAATTGTGTTGATAGATAAATAAYTTACAGAACTTTTTTTAATGTTCGTCATATTTGAAGCTGAGAGGAGCAGCGAGTGGATTCTACCTGTTGGCATTAATCGTATTAATTGTCAAGTCCAAAAAATTAATCGATTAATGTTTTTCTGACGATTAACCACACACGATACGATTATGCCCAACCCTACCAGGAAATGCATCGTATTTAACAAAGGCTCTGCATGGCTCTGCCTACRGATTACGTCATCAGTAAGGGGAATCCCTACACTTCTCAAAGCCACGCCCCCACACATTATAATCTATTCTAATGAAGATTTAAAAGTTCAGTTATGTTTTGAATTTACTTTCAGGCATGTAGCTGTTAATATAGAATCATCAAGTTAAGCAAAACAGTCACATTTAACAATCTTTACAGTTGTATCATAAGACATGTGTAATGTAATTAAAGTCATTATATAACATAAAACCCCAATAATTCCTTCAGTTTTCTCAAAGATATAATAACAGAGAATCAATCACTCAGACTTTATTTTACACACAACACAAGCAGATGTTCCTCATCACAGAGAGATGAATCATGAATGGTTGCAGAGAGTCTTTTTCTGGACTGGACCTGAACACAGGACGTAAGTAAACCTTACTGTTTCTGGTGCAAGATATTCAAGTGGGTAGAAGTAAAGCTGTTGATAAGAACAGAGGGAGGTTTTGATTCTAGTCTGAGGCGGCACAAATTCTGGTGAGCAGAGGGAACAATTTTATCCACCACAGGGCGTCTAATGGTGACCTCCGCTCACCAAAGATGAAACTTCAGCCCCCCGACTCGTTTAAGGAAACTCTACTTTTAGGAAATAAAAAGTAGAAATCATAGGCAGGTCAGATGTCAGAAAGAAAAGAGTCTTTCAATCTACATTTTTAAACACCACAGCTGTTTGCAGTAAACAAGTCCACTGATAAAAACCATTGGRCTCTAACCAGTGGGTTGCTGGTTCAACCCCGTTCCAGCTGTCTTAGTCGTTGTGTCCTTGGGCAATACACTTAACCTGCCTTGCCTGCTGATGGTAGTCAGAGGGTCCGGTGGAGCCGGTGCATGGCAGCCTCGCTTCTGTCAGTGTGCCCCAGGGCAG